GATTTACACTGGGGTTGATAATGGATGAACACTGTGCCAATCTTCGTTTCTCTCCACCTCAATTGCATTATCTCTGCCACAAGGTCACCCCAAGGTGCAGATGGGGACAGTCCAGGGACTCTGTGGTTGCATGAACTTCAGGGTTGTAATGTGGTTTATCTCAGAGTCCTCACCCCTCCAAGACACCCCCCACAGCCTTCCTGCTCCCTGCCCTCAGATCCATCACACCTGGATGCAGGCATGGGATGCAGGCATGGGATGCAGGCATGGGATGCAGGCATGGGATGCAACCCCGCTGAGCTGTGGTTGAGCCTTGGGCACCTGCACGTTGGAGACTGTGGGGGAAAGAAAGGCTGGAAAGACCACGAGATGTTCAGGGCACGCAGAGTTTTGGGTGGCAGCTGTCCCCTGTGAGCTTTGGAGTGACAGGCTGGGAAAGGGCTGGAGCCCACCTTGCCCTGAACCTGAGATGGAGAGAGCATGGGGAGACTGTGGCAGGGTGGATGGTTAGAAAATCCTGGGTTTTAGTGTGGGATTTCCACCTGTGATGAGTTTGGGAAGCAGGACCTTAGAGGAGGTGTTAAGTGAGGGCTGAGCCATGGAGGGGGCCAGGCCTTGGGCTGTGACCTGGCCAACAAGGCCTTTGGCACACATGAAATTCTGGAGATGGCTTCTCCAAGCAGTTTAATTTCACAGCTGTCCTGCAGGATGAGTCTCCAGGGAACAGACAGCCCTGCAGACAGCCCATCTGCTTGAGCACTTCTCCTCCCCAGCTGCCTGCACTCAGGTTCCTGTATTTACAAGGACTTGTTTAAGCTGTTGAACATCCCTGCTGCTGCCCAGAGCACAGGAGCCACATTTCAGGACAGCACCAGCACTGGAGTCACAGGCAGTGATGCTGAGCTCTGTTTACAGCTGGTAGTAAAATTCCCCGGTGCCCACTGACCACAGTTAAAAATGTCTCAGTATTAATCTGAATTTGCCTGGTTTTAACAACCATCTCCCTGATCTTTTCATTTGTTGCAGCAGGATGCTGAACTCTTTTCAATTTGTCAACACCCTCGGATGGGTGCTGTAAAATTTTAAAGCTCTGCCTAAATCACAGCCCTGCTTTGTGGACTGCGAGCCAAGTCATCCTCCCCACTCTGCACTGTGCTGAGCTCAAAACCTAATAAATAACGTTAATCATGCCATCCATTTCATCCACAGGGAGCGACTGGTAAATGGTTATTAATTCAGTGATAAATTCTGATGCCTCTTTCCCAGTCCTGGCAGTAATGTCTGGTTATATCTCACGATTTTCAGGAAGAGCAGTGCCTGCATCTGCTCTTTTACTGTGCGTTTGTTCATTCACATTTTCTTGGCTGCTGCAGGTTTCACAGCCCCGGTGTTTCCCTGCCGACATCCCTTCCCAGAAGTGTGAAATCAATCGAGCAGGAGCCGTGCGGCCACAGCCTCGCTCAGCAACCCCAGCCCCGGGCTCTGCTCCCTCCCCTTGCTCTGATCCTTTCCCGGCTAAAACAGGGATGAAGGTATTGATGTTATAATTGAGGTGCGAATTTCACCCTTTGGAATGCGATTATGATGCAGGCTGTCATCCGAATTCCCAAATATCTTTAAAAGCTGGGTGAGCCAGCTCTGGTGTGGGGGACAGTCCAGCCCCTCCATAATTCCCAGTCACTCTGTGCCTGGCGGAATGCGGCGCTGGGATGTGATTCAACGTCTGTGCAAGCACATGCTGATGTCTGTCAAAGATAGTGGCTGCTTTCCTGTGCCCTGCCTGCGAATCTGCTTTGTGCAGACAGCTGGATATTTATGAGTTTTATATTTACCCCACGGTCGTGCGGTTTTGCTGTTTATCCACCAATTTCTATTGTTTTTCCTTTTGTGGGAGTTCTCTGTGCGCACGAAAGGCGTGCAGAGAGGAATACGTCTCTAGGCACGTAAGTACCTTCCTGAGAGACATTAAGCATATGGATGACACACTCCCAAGTTTGGTTAGAGGCAGATCCACATGCTGAGGCTCAGCTCCTCTCTTCACAACATGTAATTTGGCCAATGAGATAAAGAATTGCAGTAATACAGGCAATATACAGTCAGCCCAAGCAGGAAGATTTTCACAGGAAATTTTCAAATATGTGTTAACATGTATTTCATTTCAAGCAGTGAGTCTAACACGAAGGCAATCCTGTTATTTCTGTTCTGGAAAGCATCCAGTACCCTATAAGCCTTCTAAAAAAGCAGCGTGGCTCAGTCACAGAGGGAGTGTATTAGTGCAAACGGCACGGATGTTGCTGACTTGGCAATCAGCAGAACATAATGAGCTCCTTTAGCCATGGGAATGGAGCAGCCTTCCCGGAAAGCTGCCGTGCCCACTGCCCTCCCCATCGATCGAACTGGAGGTGGAGACGTGTGTGGGAGCAGGTGCCTTTGGTGAGAGGTGAGGAGGCTCCCTAAGTTCTCGAGAAATTGATTCAAAATCTGTTCATGACTCTTTTTTTTTCCTGGAAGTTGACAAGCCATCCTGCAGGTCCCTCTCCCTCCCTGCCCTGAGGAATGGCCGTTACTGGAACAGCTCAGAGACAGCCCAGTGCCCACCATGGATGGGCTGTTCCTCTGGGAAATCCTAAAGATCCAGCTGTGTTTGGCGGACCCGTAAATCCTCTCGCTTGCCTGCTGCTGTCAGCATACCTGTAGGACCCTTGGCTGGGCTTCAGCAAGATTCCCTCCATCCCAATCTCCCTTCGTGATTCCCACTGTGCTCAATCCTCCTTCCCTTCTCCCCAGCGCTGTCACTGCTTCACAGGGGACTCAAATATGGTCACAGACCAAGGCAACACAGCACAGCAGCCCCAGCAGGAGGGATGGCAACGAGGTGTGTGTGCACACCAACAGGAACACAGCCCCATGCACCCCATCCCAAAATCAGCGCCTGTTTTCCTTCTGCCACGGGGCACACGGAGCCAATTTTCCTTTGCCATGCCCTCCAACCTCCTAAGCAAAGCCTGCTGTGAGTCCCGGTGCTTTCTCCCGTGTGTGCTCACGTACCTCCTGGCAGGCTGATGGGCCCACAGCTCTTCTCTTTGGGACCTTGCTCCTGCATGAAAATCCGCTTGGTGCAGAGTCTCCAGAGCCCGAAATGAGCGGCCTCGCAGGTGGTGGTGTTTTCCTCCAGGCTGGGGCTGAGCACGGCCCAGTGGTCAGTCACGACGGCGGCGAAGAGCAGCGAGATGCCCACCAGGATGACGGAGAACGCCAGCCGGACCTTCAGGGGCTTGCTCTCGTCCATCTCGCTCCGGAGCGGGGGGAACCGCCAGGGCTCCCGAAATCCTGGCGCATCCGAGTGCCTGGAAATGTCAGTCCCAGGCTGCGGGCAGCTGCTGGGCTGTGTCAGGACGCTCCCAAAGCGCAGCTCAGCTTTCGGCCCCGTCCCACCCGGGCTGTTTTGGATTCCCACGCCCGGCCGGAGCGGCTGCAGCCGCCGCGCAGGGGCTGAGATCTCTTCACTTGCAGCATGCCCAGAAATAGGCATTAATAGGATGATTAGCTTTTCAGCGAGGTTATAAAAACATCTGTGTTTATAATAGTGCTGGGCCTGAGTTCAGGCTGATCCTAAACAGTTTAATAGCCCTGGAGCCCTCTCACCCCACGCCTGCGGCTCGCAGGAGCTCAGAGGTGGATGTGCCTCGAGAGCCCAGAACTGTTGCAGAGAGTGATAAAATAAGCCGACTAGTTTATTTTATTATTAACTTCTATTATAGTTATTTTTATTCTAAGCTTTTATTGTAATAATTTTTAATTAGCCTGAACTGTTCTGGGTAGTTGGGGTTTTTTTTGTGTGTTCCGTTTTTCCAGGGCTTTTTTGTTTTACTTTTTTTGTTGTTAGGGTTTTTAATGTATTTTTTCTTTTTCTAATGCAATATCCCTCAAATCCTTGTTTGCTTTCCTATTAAACAGGTTCCCCTCGATGCCTGCAGTAACTCCAGAAGCCACCCAACACATCCATTCCTTTCTCCAGAAATGGCTTCTCTTGCCCCACATTGCTGGGACTGGGACAGCCTCTCCTTCCCTTTGATATTTCAGCTGATTGTAAAGCCAATTTGATGGTAATATCAATGCAGAGGCCACTGTGGAGGTGACATTACAATTGTGATATCAAACTGAGGAGGGTGACAGTAACTGAATTTTAAAAGAATGGTTAAAAAAATGCCAGTGGAAAGCTGCAAATATCATTGTGTCAAGATAATGTCAGAGCTACTCCAGTGCTGCTTTATTAACACTCCAGTTTGATGTCAAAATAAAGGTGCAGAGGTGTCAGCTCAAGTTGATGAGGACAATGTGGAGCAAGGAACTAAAGTGTAGGGAGAGCAGGGGAAAGGGAGAGCAAATAAAGTGTAAGTTAAAAAATATTGGTCCGAAGTAACTGTAATTGAAGTATGACTTAGAGGGGTTGACATCACTCTGATGTGTGACAGGGATGGCTCAGACACCCCTGTGGAGCAGAGGGACATGTGGGCACCCAGGATGGCATCTGGAGCCCCATTCTTACTGGGGTGTGGGAGCTGTGGGCAGGAGTAGAGGTCCCTGGTGCAAAATTGGAGGGAAAGGGGACCAGGGAGAGCAGTGGGGACATGGAGCAAGGCAGGGACCAGGGACCACAGGCACATTTGTGCTGGGCTGGCAGAGATATTAGAGGCTTTCATTTAAACCAGAACCAAGACTTGTCATGAAAGCAGAAAGGCCTGAAGGGAGCAGACTTTAAGCCAGAAAAGAAATGCATTAAAGGTGTAATGCCTTTGCCTTTGAAGCAGGTTCTTGTCAAATCTCACTAGACATCAGTCAATCTCAGGAGCTGCACCTCGACTTCAATTCCTTGGTGCTACAAACTCCACAGGTGGAGCAGAGGGAAGTGAATCTGTGCTTGCAAATGTGAGCACAAAGCAAGGCTCTGGTTGCTGAGGCATCAAGTGCTAATGATTCTGCTTTAGACTAATTACAACCTACAAGGACTGCAGGGGTGGGAACTCATTAGTTTTTTTCACTGGTCTTTGTGCCTCTTCCAGTGTTGGCAAGAATCACACTTTTTGTTCTCATTTAGCTCCTTCATTCTGGAGAAGTTCTATGAGTTTGGTTTGGCTTTGAGTTTCCTAATTTCCAGGAAACAACTGAAATGAAATCAGAAGGGAATAATTGATCCTTCCCGACTGCTGAGTGGAGCTGGGAGTGTGAACAGGCTTTGATGAGCCACAGCATGGGCAGCAGTGGCTTCCCAAGTTCACATTGCTGCAGCTGAGGTGAAACACTCTCCCCAGCCCCCAAAAATTACTTAGAGCTGCCAGCCCATGGGGGAAAAAGGGGTTTTATGGGTTATTTGTGGGCATTTGGCAAATGCAGAAACAAAACAGATTTCTGGAGGAGCACAGGCCTGAAGCAAACCCTGGAAGTTTTCTGCACATTCAGAAGACCATGATACCTAATCCTCTGGGAATGGTTCCTGCAGCCTCTCTGTGTCAGCTAGTAAATACTCACATTTAAAAATCGATATCACATGAAATATAAACAGGCTATTAATGAGGACCTGTTGGAAAGCAGGGAGGGTTGCAATTAGTTGCACTTTAGCAGCAGTGAGCAGGGGCCACAATTCTCTCTCTCTTCTGGAGAAAATGCCAGAGGAGGCGTCTGAAGCCAAACTACTGAGTTGTTTTCTTCCCTGGCAGAGGTGGTGACTTGGCTCTGCTCCCCAGCACTTGCACTCTTCTGGATTTCCTTCAGACCAGCCTCAGCATTTACCACAACCAGATTAACCTCACTCTGTGGTTCCCTGCTTGCAGAACAACGCTCTGCAGAAAACCCTTTGCAGGTCAGAATAACCCAGAGAAAGGGAGGCAGCACCTGCTCTGCTCTCAGCTCAAATGTGAGCTCAGCAAAGAGCTTTCTTCAAACAGGATCTCCTCAGCAAGATTTGGGCTCCCCAGCCTGCATTGCCCCGGTGTGGTGAGACCCCTGGAATCGGGATGGGTCTGCACAGCCAATAGCTGGGAATGCCACCAGCAGCTCTGTCCGAAGGCTCCCTTATTCTGAGGTGGAAATCTTGGAACACAACAGCTAAATGTGCGTGTTTTGGCCGGCTATTTTATTTTTCAGCAGGGTCCCACCCCTGGCCATCCCTGCTGCCCCTGGGGCTGACCCACAGCTCCGTGCTCCCAAAATCCCGGCGGCCGTGCGGGCTGTGCCGCTGGGGAAGCGATCCCGGGGCTCTGGGAGCTGAAAGCGGGGCTGGATCGCTCACAGATGCACAGCCTCTCCTTTCCCGGGTAGCTTCGGCACTGCCCGTGTCTTTCCTTGGTTCTCTCATTCCAAGGAAATGCCACGTCCCCTTTTCCTCCACTTTCCGAAGCTGTTTCTGCTTCCCCCCTCCTCAAGCATCACTTTTCCAGCATCCCTGTGCACAGCGGGACAGCCACAGCTCCTCGGGTCACCATTTACCCACGGACTTGCTCATAAACGTGGGGAAAAACCTTTATTTATTTCAGTCAAAGGGAAGCAGCTTTGAGCCTGAGCTTTAAATGGCTTCACCACGGCGTGTCAGAGGCGTTTGAAAAGATGAATCCTCTGCCTCCCTCCCGATGTGCCAATTCATGAGCTGGGAGAGAGGTGGGAGAGCCCAGTCCTCATCTTTGCAGACGGTCTGGAGGCTGAGGAGCTGCGAGGTGAAGTTAGAAGAAGAATTTGAAGGAGAAATGCTGTCGGGGATGGTTGGGGCTGCCTGGGGACGGGCAGGGGATGCTCTGCTGTGTTTGGCACCGCTGGGGTTTGGTGGTGGGATCAGAGCAAGGCTGTGTGGAGCTGGGGTCATCCTTCCTTCAGGGACAGCAGCAAGCTCGAGGTGAGCTCGTAAGAAAGCTCAAAAGCTGAGCTCAGCTCAGGGAGGGCACACAGAACACACGGGGCTGTTTTCATCAAGGGTGGCTTGCAGTGGCCACCACACCAGGTTCAAACTGGGCACTGAGACCACAGTGTGTCTCATATGGGACAGGTGTAAGCTGGGAATGAGAAGGTTATTCCTAATTTCCAACCAAATAACTGAAAATGTTGTGAAGATAGCTTATCTTGGAGATTCTGTGGTCTCAGGGACCACAAGAATTTTATCTCCTTTGAAATACTGGCTCCCAGTAACATGGCCAGGTGCAATCAGTGAAAAATGTGAAAAAATAAACAGAAATCTCAGCTCAGAGAATTTTGAAATTTAAAATCTATATACCTTTCTCCACACAAAGCCAAATACATTTAAAATGGTTTATTTAAAAAGTAAGGATTAAGTACATTATACATGGTTGTGATTATACCAGTAGAACTGAAGCACAGTGGAAACACTTTAGAACTGCAGACAGAAATGTAGCCTCAAGGGACATGATATATTAGCCCTTGTGGATATGTGATCCATACAGAGAGAAAAGGAAATAGAAAAATAGTTTATTGTTAGATGTCTGGGCAGCTGAAGTGATTTCTCCTTTTACTCCTATTGTGTATGAGAAACGAGGAAGAGAGAGCTCATGGTACACCTGAAACTTTGTTTCTTGGAAAATCAAATCTGATCCAATAGCATTTTTTTTTTTTTTTTTTTTTTTTAGTTCTGCTGCTAGAGTATGTTATATACCAAAAGACCGATTATTGTTAATGATATGGTTTTATGATGTCTGCAGGCCTTGCTGGGAAATGGGGCTCATTTGTTCGATGCTGGCCAGGGAAACCAGAAAGATGTGGAAGAACAGATGATTTTTTTAAAACTATCACTGAGTGGTTTCAAAGTCTGAGCACAATCTAACTCTGTTCAGACAGATCCACCGTGGAGCAAGACTGTTCATGGGCAGGAATGCTGCAAATTTTTCAGTTTTGTCAGAATCAAAGTTTTTCATGGGAAAGGACTGGGGTTTTTCAATTTGTTTTTTTCTTTTTTTTTTTCTTTTTTTTAAACTGGAATTATCAAATGATTTTTTTGGTTTTGTTTTGTTTTGTTTTGTTTTGGCTTTGGTTGAACAATTTACTGCACTGCAACTTAACTGCTGAGTTTTCAGTGGCAGCCCTTGTTGTCCCACAGGACAAAAGCTCTGGTCCCTGTTATCTCCCCATGACTTTGTTCCCTGTCCAGACCCCATGCACATCTCATGATCACTACTCCAGCTCCATTTCTTGAAGGTGCCTGCTGGAGAAGGAGCAGATGCTCCAGCTTGGACCAAAACATTCCTTGAGAGCTGCTGGACCCAGCCCTGCTCTGGGGGGAGGAGGCTCTGGCAAAGAGCAACATCCCAAAACACTCAGCAAGACTTTTATTCTGCCAAAAAATACTGCACCTCTGCAGGTCTGAGCTGGGCTGAAGAAAAACCTTGGACTTTGTGTGGAATCAGATGGGTGGTTTGAAGCACATTCACTGGAGAACGACGACTAAAAAGAACAAAACCCACGCGCGGAGCAAACCTCACACTGTCCACTTCCAGTTCAAGGTACATGAGTTTAGAGAAACAGCCTACATCTAACTCCTGGTTTGAAAGGGAATGGTTTTATTCTTAATTACAGTAAACACGGATGAGGACTTAGTTCTAACTATTAGTTTTTTTAACACAGTGGGAAACAAATAGTTCTGGGAAATTGCACTTGAAAAATACATTGACTATAATTAGATGTAAATTAATTAGCACTTAGTATGTCACACTAATGAGACAGAAGGTTGTTTTTTTTTTTTCATTGCAAACTTCTACTTCTATCATAGCTAATCAAAGTATTTTAATATTACGAAGTCTCAAAAAGTAGGAAATAATTTATTGTTTGAAAGCATAAAGATTCTTGTAAAAAAAACCTTTCATCAAGAACTTTAATAATTTTAGAACCCTTTTATGTTGTCCTAGCCGAAAAGTAGGTAAAAAAGTTTTCTTTTCTGCCTCTGTTTGAATTTTTTTTAAAAAGCTTGTGTAACATCTTTCTCCATAGTGTGTTGATACAGAAAGTAGCACAACATTTTCTACTTTTAAATCATTCCCATCGCTCCATTCGCTTTAGCTCTCAGAGTTCAGAGGTTTGAAAAAAGCATCCCAGCAGAGTTTTAACCTGAATGGAAACTCTTAATGAGCAGGGATGAAGGCTCCAACCCACCCCTGCCAAAATAACGACGTGGCTGTGCCAGGCTGAGGGCCAGGCAGAGCTTAACAGTGACTAGGGGGAAGACTCTCGCTTAAAATTGAGAATTGTGTCTTGGTTCTTGCAAGGAGAGAGGCTTGAGCAGGTTTCTCTGGGGGGAGAGGGGGTGTAACTTCCTTTTTGGGATGTTAAGGCAGCTTCTCCGGGATTTCCCTGGAGGACTTGGTTCCACTAGCTGAAAGCCTCGTATCCAAACCACCACTGAGTCTCTGGCCCTGGGGCCATCATAGAATAAATTAAGACTAAAGAGGTTTTAACAGTTTGGCTGAGATCTCCCACTACCAGTGACCCAAACTTTCCAAATTATGGATTTTTTTTTTTTTTTTTTTTTTTGGTCACCACTTGTCTAGTGTTCTGCTAGCAAAGATTTTTTTTTTTTCTGGGCAAAAATGATGGGGATATTCAAAGGAATCTACAGGAATTAGATGCTCCTCTCTCACTGCATCTAATTCATCTGAGGGGAACTGGGCACCTCATTCTTATATGGCTTGGTCGAGTGGTCACTAAAATCAGCATGAGTACTATTAAATTAAATTACCTTTGAGTCAGGCCCTCGAGCTTTGAGATCCAAGCCTAAGTGAAAAAAATGAAAACAGGAATTTATAAGAAAAAAAAATAAATTTCAGACTCTTTTAGAAACATACAGAAGCAAAGGGTACAAATTAGTTCCCTCCTTACGTGATGCATAGAGTTTGCTGTGGCCTCTCTGCACGTAAGTAGATGCATCATTACAAAATAAATTAAATTAGGTCGAACCACCATTTCCATCTAAAAGCAACTATACCTTGCACCATGCGGCACTTAATTCATAATAAAAAGAGTTTAATAAATATCTCATAAACGGCGATTAACTTTTTTCTTTCCTTTTTTTTTTTTCTTTTTTTTTTTTTCCTTTCTTTTTTTTTTTTTTTTTTTTTTTGTCCTGTTTTAAAAAATACAAAGTCGTCATCTGCTCTGTCAGCGCTCGGCTCCCGTTGCTGCGGGAAGTTTCTGTCGGCCGGGCGCGCTCGCGTCTCGTTAGCTCGGAGATCTCCGTCCGCAGTGGCGTTGGTGTTGCACTTGTGAAGCAGTGAGGAAATGGGCAGCGGGGCCCCGGGGCTCAGCCCTGCTCCCCGCCAGGGGTTCCTGACAGCCAGCACTCAGCACCTTGCCGGATCAGGCACTAGGGCTCGTCGAAATGAGAATTCAAGTTTTCGAAACGTTAGGCAAGAAATGATGTCTGCGAGTACGCTCAAGTCCCACCTGCTTTTAATCTTTTTCCCTTTCCAGGTGTTTCAAGACGCACCCACCCTCTGCTCCTCGGCCTGCGTTGCCCCAAGGGATGCCTCACCCCAGGAATGGGAGATCCCCTTCCCACCCCATCAGGGAGTCTGTAATGCTCAGTACGTGGGTGCTCTACGGTTTCAGTGGCACAGGTCAGTTTTAGAAAGTGTTGCCTTCAAAAATATTTTCTTTTTTTTTCTTTTTCTTTTTTTTTTTTTTTTTTTTTGAAAGAGGCAAAGCTTACGCTGTGTCAAAGGAAAGTGGCTCACTTGATGAGTAGTTCATATTCATCCTTGGGCTTGGTTATAAATTATATTTGCAAGTTCGTATTAAGGGATCTCAATATTAGAAAAAAAAAAAAAGTACAACAATTTTTCTGTAATCCTTTAAAACACACTGGTGGCCAGTCCTTTGCAGTTTCTCCAAGACTGTGTACACACTACAAAAGTGCAGGAACACGAAAACTGCCTTCATCTTGTGACACCAAGAACGGAAATAAACAAACTCCAAATAGCTTCAAAAAAAGCTACGAGCGTGTAAATATCTTTATGTTGGTCCAGAGGATCTCCACTTGCTACCTCAACACATGCCACAATTAAAGAGGTGAGAGGGTATTTTAACATCGCTCCTGACAGATCCATTCTGTTTGGGCATCTCTTCAAAAAGCTCGAGGAAGGAAGGTGCTTCAAACAGGCGTCGTTCTCCTGTTGACCATGTTGACGTGGAGTCCTTCCTTAAATTCCTTCTGGAGGAAGTTGTGGACCTGCAGGAAACTGGCTTCTTGGTCTGCATTGTAGCTGGCAGCCGTGGTAACCTTCAAAGGCTCCCTGGAAAGGGTGTACATGGAAATTTCGTTCATGGGGATGGTGCCTGCTATCTTCATGCCAACTGGAGAAATGTCCCTGGATGGAGAAGGCTCCGTGGATCGGGAGCTGGATCTGGACCTCCTCCTCCTGTACCTATAGCTTGGCATCCTGGCATAGGGAGAACTGGAAGAAGTCTTAAGGAATTCCCTCTTGGTCTTAAACCTCAGCTCTTTGTTCTTCTCAATATAAATGTTCACAGCCAGAACACCTATGGTTTCAGCCACGATAAAAGACAAGGCTCCAAAATAAAAAGACCAACCATAGTTGTAATGGTTCTTTTTGTCCTCATCTCGCTTGTCACTTGGGTCACCTGCATTGCTCGATATGTAGACAATGATCCCTATGATATTACTTAGACCTAGAGGAAGAAAAACATAAATCAGTGTTTATGTGGCTGGGGAGATAAAATTCAAGCCACGTTACTTTCTGGGCCTGAGTGGCTCTAAGACTGGGACAATGAAATTTTATGACATTTATTTACTCTTACATTTATCTCAAGGATTCATTTATTCCTGAAAAACAACCAATAGATCAACACATGGGTCATGTGTTCCCAAAATACTCAGCAGGACTTTTTCCCATCTCTTCATTGCAAGAGTGGAAAAGCAGCAGCATGTGGGAGCTTGCTAACATTGTGAGTGGGATTCTAACATCCAGAAGAATGATAAAAATACATTTGGAGCTCAGGGCTATGGCTGTTCACCTTGATCAAGATAAGTTCTCTTGCACCTTGCTGAATTTTCATCTAAATGCAGCATGCTTAATACAGGCTGCAGGGAGAACTGTTAACAATGGGGCTGACTCTCTCAGATGTTTCTAGTGTGAAAATCGGGCTCACCTATCAGAGGGGAATGTTTCCTGCCTTCATATTTAAAAAAAAAAAAAGACCTTAGGTATAAGAGATGCTTGATTCATCTAACGTTTAATACATTTTAAATAGTGTAAAACATGCTTGTTACTGAATTTAACTTCTTTCTGCAGGAAAACCAAAAGTTTTTCCAGAACACACTTATTGTGGAGCTTCAAGAGCATAATTTTGTCTTGAGAAATTTGCCTGGTGTGGTGTTGTTACTGCCCTCAGTCCTGGAAAGGAGTGCAGGGAAAGCATTGCCAAGGAGCTTTTCCAGAGTCGTTTCCAGCTGAAAAAGGCAGCACTTCTCAAGAACTCAATTTAAACAGAACATACCCGCTGCAACAAAGAGAATCCCAGCGCTGAGAATAATGTTGTTTTTGCTGTTGTAAATCCTTCCTGCTCCGACACAGAGTCCTCCCAGCAACAGCAAAATTGTGCTTAGGATGGGGAACACGCTGGAGGCACGGACGATGCCTGCAGGGAGACAGGTAGGAGGGGAAGACAGAGTAATCATTTCGGGTGCAAGTGTGGAGATTAGAGTCTCAAAACCCCTGTTTTTTTCCCTAAAATCGTTAAGAAGAATGATTTAATAGAACAAGAAAATTGTTAAGGTTGAAAAAGACTTTTAAGGTCATCAAATCCAACAGTGAAACCAGCACCTCCACCACGCTCACCACTAAATCATGTCCTCGAGTTTCAGCCACATGCAAGCATTTTTTGCACATACTCACTGTTCCAGTGCTTCATAACCCTTTCAGTGAAAAAAAAATTTTTCCTAATATCTAACTTATTATCATTTTTTATTCCTTTTGCTAGAATTACCACTGATTCTGCATTTCTGGGCACGTTTTTGGGATGACAAAGCCATGAGGTGGTCAATGTGACACAGACTCTCAACTGAGTGGCTTCAGTGTTTTGAGCTTTCTCCCAGAAAGTCCAGCATTATTGGCATTTTCTGATGCCACCGTGTGCAGAATATTTCTGGCAAAGCACGAGATAAGTGACAGTAAGACCCAGCATCACGCAGGGAGCAGCAGTGAAAAATTCATGAGCTGGCTATGAACCCTACAACGTTTGGGACAGCTGGAGCAGACGGATCTGTTCCGTGGTGCACACACAAGGTGAGCAAATTACAGCTCTTGAAGTCAGCAGCATCCATATTTGCCAGCAAGCATGGCTAATAACCCCTTTTTTCTTTTGCTGGATATTAAGGACATGGAAACCTTTCAGATTTCTAAGGAAGGAATTTTAACAAGTGTGTCTTAGATGTTTGTGTTTAGTTTCCTGACAGCAAAGTAGTCATTTAAAATTCTGCATGCTTCAGTCCATTCATCAGCGTATAAAATCCCCCACAAAAATACTAAAACACCACTTCAAGCCGGCTTTCAAAGTCGGGTCACAACAAGACAGAGCAGCAATCGCCAGGGAAGCGGCAGGGAGGGAACAAAAGGGCTGAGAAAAAATAAACAAGCATGAGAAGAGAGATGTCTGTATTGTAAAAACCAAAGGGGTAAAAGCTGGCAGGGGTTCCTGAAAGGCAGAGTGAGGAACAGAGTTTTATTGCTGTAGAGAGAGGATTTATTTTTTGAAGGAGGGTAGATAAGGTGCTGAATACTGCTGTGGAAAATGGGATCACCCCGAAGCCGGGGAAGGGCGAGGGCACGGAGGGGAGCCCTGGCAGAGCGAGGGGTGCCGGGCCGGGGGGTCCCAAGGCGGGTGAGAGTCACAGGCTGCTGTCGCAGTGGCATGGAAACCTCAGAGCAGACTGGGAGGCCACGGGCACCCCAGGGCTGGGTGAGTGGAGAGCAGAAAACGCCATCTGGGCCGCTGCGGTGCCGTGAGCGCCGCGGTCTCCCCGGGTGCATCCTCCTGGCTGACACGCACAGCGAGAGCAGCTCCCGCTTCCCCGGGAGAGTCGGGCAGATGTTCCAGCTGCTGCTTTCTCATTTTGCTGTCGATGGCCGTGGCGTTCCCGACTCAGTGAATCGCTTCCTGACGATTCCCCTGGTAACTGGTGGCAGAGGTCCCAGCTGGGGGCTGGGGGTTCCACACCAGCATCGCTCCCTGCGCCCCGCACGGCCCCGCAGCCCCCGCTCCGCATCGCGGGGAGGGCGCACACACAAACCCCAAAAGACAGCGCCTGCCTGGGAAAAGCTTCTGCCTGTATCGATAGGCAGCAGCGAGAAAAGTCCATCCCTCCCCAAGCTGCACGTGTCCTTCACAGATGGGGCATTTTCCAGCCGGATCTGAACCCGGTCCAGGCGGGCGCATTGCTATTCAGACAGCGTCTTGCAGGAACTGCCAAATCCAACTGATGTGAGTGGGTGTACGGTCTCTGGTCAAAGCCTGTTGAGACGTGAGAGCCTCTTCCCTTGTCCTGGCTGTACCCTCACGTGTGTGGTATGAATTAACAGCACTTTGGTTTTTGGGTCAGTTTTTTTTCAGTCAATTATTAGAAAAAGATTCCAAGTCAGTCTCTGCTGCTGGACTTTAAGGCACCCCAAATCTCTGTCTGTTTGTGCCCTGGCTAAAGGCTCAGGATCTCCTCTGGCCCATCCTTTCTGGATATTGTTTCCTGCACTTTATGGTCATTCTGTTTATAATGATTTCAGTTAAATCAAAGAGCTTTCCCAAAATGCTTCAGTGATATCATTGGAAGGAACTTGTCAGACATACCAAATATAGGGGGTGGGTTGTTCTATTTGTACTAATAATCTCCAGAGATAATTTTTCTGTAGTAGGTAATTAATGCGAAGAGAAGCAGAACACACAGTGTTCTCTTCCTGAAAAATTCCACAGTATATTTTTTCTTACCATGTGTACTTTTAGCTCTGATATTTCAAAGGAAGCTCATAAGGTACCACGTAGAATTTACATATGTCTTCTGATACTGGTAATAAAATGACAGCACATCAAAATACATTAAGGCAATCTGGTTTTTGTTTTCTCCCTGGCTTTCCTCCCCGCCTTGTTTACCGTCCTGTCGGTTTGCATCGCCTGCTGTGCACCGCTATGTGCGGTGACACCTCCTCCGGTGGAGCCGCGGTGCTGCTCCTCCCCATGGGGCTGCAAACCCTGCTCGGCTCGGGCTTTTAATCTCCGGAAAGGCAGGAGCCGAGGGAATGGCTGTGGAAAGAGGATGCTCTAACATGCAGGGAGGAAGGGCATGAAAGTAGAGATGCCCCTGAAGCAGAGTCCCCCTGCTCGGAGCAGCAGAGCCCCGACATCCCCAGCGCACAGCGAGGATGACATCCCCCTTCTGCAAAGGGAGAGGAGATCTGTCCTCTGTGCTTTGTGCGCTGCTGGATGGGAGCAGCTCGGGTTTTGTGTGCCCAAAGGAATGCGGGAGAGAGGGAAGCAGGAGAGGAGGGAAGCAGGAGGGAGCGAAGCCGGGCGCCTTTGCCGCTGGGGATGCGGTGGCAGCCCGGGGACCGCGGGGCTCTCCGTGCTGGCACTGGGACATCTGCTGCTCGCTGGGGCCCTGCTCAGGCATGTGAGGGGGATTTTTTGGACACACAGATGGGCGTGTGCTGCCACGGGGAAGGTTCAATAGGAAGGGTCTCGTCCGAGCCCCTCTGCAGGTGTCAGTTTGTCACTGCGCTGTCGTTCGCTTGGTTTTGCAGGAAGCAGCTTGAGCATCAAAGGGCAAAATCCAAACTCCTGCCTCTGCCCACTCCCTAGACCAGTCTCCCCAAAACAGTCATTTTTGTCTCTGATTTGCATGGGGTTTTGAACCAGGGCTCGATTCTGCTAGCACTACAGTGTTTGGATTTCTGCGAAGCCTGAATTAAATTGGGGACTGTGGAAGAGGCTGAGACCCCTCATGCTGCTCTTTCAGGAGCAGGAAATACATCAGTGTGGGTGCCTTTGTCTAAGCCAGGCAGGAAAAATAAATATTAGTTCCAACACATCCCTCTGAGAAACTGTGCCAAGAAATGGCCAGAAATAGTGGAAAATGATATGGAGACAGTAGACAGCAAAGGTGTTGCAGAGGGCAAAAACAGGACAGAAGCTCTCATGTCCCTTTGAAACAGGATGTAAATATCCTCCTGTCTCAGGCAATGATTTGGTCCCGACTACATAAAGCTATGAGCTCATCTCCTCTGGATTGAGACATGTTACCTTTCAGTAATCTCTAAATCAACTCTGTGCATGGAAAACAGCAGCTCCTATGGAAGTTAAAGCCAAGGAGCCTTGTCTCCGTGCAGACTGTGAGGTGAGCTCTGCTCTGCAGGGGAGGCACTGGAGACTGATTTTGCAGAAGACATAAAGGGTTGGACTAACTTGTTTTTAAGATCTGTACTTAGTCACTTTTGCAAACAGCTTTTAGGAACACCCGTCACAAGCACACTTACAAACAATTTACCAGTCTTGTACCTTAACGTGGAGCTGGAGACTGTTTTTCCCAGTTCTCACTTTTCTCTATATAAAGAAGGCATAATGTGCTTTTATCAAGATGCTACTTAATTCCTCTTTCCTTTTACTAATGATGTTTGTTTCCTAAAGCTGACTTTGCATCAATTTAACATTAGTTTCAAGGCATTGTATGAAAGATAAATGCAGCTGTGCTCATGCTCTGCCTTTGCCTGAGCTCTGAAATTGTGTCAGCCGGGTGCTATGACTGATCTAAATTGACAAGAGCAAAGAGGAAAAAACATCTGGGTTTTCTGGTGAGGCAAACTTTTCGGAGATTTTTTTCCTTCTTCATGTCTTAGCAACTAGAAGTTGTTGCCCAGAAGTGAGCAGAAGGGCAGAGCAGCTCTCTGAGTGGTGTTTCAGGTAATTAATATTGTAATTGAGGAGTTCTCTGCCTTGCCAGCAGTGTTGTTCTCTGCTCCCTGATTTCCCAACAGCTTGTGAGCTGCAGTTCCTCTCCCTGGTAAAGGGCACTGCTTTCAGCTTGGTTGCTCAGCTCTTTTGTTCAGAAGGAACAACAAGGCAAGGAGTCCTCTGGGGAAGGGGAATTTTAACTCCAACTTTGCAGCTCTCATGGTTGGGTTCCAGGACTTGCCATCAGCTGAGAATGGCCATGTGGAGGGGGTGAAACAACTGCCCTTATTTCAAGCACCAGGCTGGTGGGTGAAATCTTTTCTGGGAGGAATTACATGCCAGCATGGAGCAGCAGTGGCTGGGTGGCCAGGCAGGGAAGCCACAGCCCTTTTCATGCTGGGATTTTTCTGATAGCTGCAGAAATTTCAGCTTCCTTCCTACAGTGCAGTAATTTCATTGCAGGGGGAGGTGGCTCACCAGCTGCAAAGACTGGGACTTGAGTGAGGATTGGGTTTAAGCATTTGGTAAAGCTTCCTAATGGGCTGGAGCCCACTCCTCAAACCTGTTTTGTAACCCTATAAATACTCCATCTGTAAAATATCCTCTCCAATCTGGGCACAATAGCTGTAGTTTTCACTTGGAAATTTGTCATACGATGTTTAGACAATCAACACCAAAATTGTCAGCATTCTCCTGGCTGAAGGAAACCCTTGGAAAAAATCCTTGAAACTGCATGGCAAGAGGGTTGGAACTAGATGGTCTTTAAGGTCCCTTCCAACACAAACCATTCCATGATTGAATGACTCTGTGAAGTGGGGGTCTCCAAGGGTGATGGGCGTGTGGCACCACTGGGCTTTGCAGCCCAGTTTGGACCAGTCTGGCAGTGAGTAAAACTGGGGTTTCTCTCTGCAGAAGAGAAGCCCAGGGAGGCCTCTGGCGGCACATCTGTGTGCTGGGTGTCACTGCTCACTTACGGAGAAGGTACTCTGAGCTGTCGTGGTCGTAGTCATTGTCCTCAGGGAAGTGGTTGATCCGGAAACAATGTCCTTTGTAGATTCCTAAATGGAAACAAAGCAAACACAGCCCATAAGGAACAGAATCAGGTAAATGTGCTTTTTCTTAACCTGTCAAGAAACCATCTCCAAAGTCATGAATTTTGGGCAGACTGAGCTGAAGGGACAGCCAGGATTCCTGGGCTCTTTCCTTCAGCCACTTATATCATTCTCTTGAGTTTTTTAATCTCTAAGTGCTTCACTTTATCAGCGCTGTGCTTATCTTACAAGCATACTGAGTTTGCAAAGCTTCTTTTTGTTCCCAGAGTGGCTGTCAGGCTGGGTCCCTGCTCCGTGCTGGGGCTCCCAGTGCCAATCTTGCTCCCATCACCCTTCCCATCTCATCCCAGTGAAGTGCAGCCTTCCCTTATCAGAGCTGGTAAAAGCTGTATTGTCTGAGGCCTCTTCAATTACTCTCTAGGCTGCAAAAACAAGTCCATAAATCTCTTCCTGCTGCAGTTTAAGCCTCTATGTCCCACTCCAGGTTGGCTCAGCTTTTAATGGCATATTTGTTTATCTAACTGGGAGCCTGTGCAGTAAAGTCAGGGCACAGTGTGCACTCCTGATCCCTGGAGGGAAAACACCAGAGCTGGCTGGACAAACCCCTCGCTCACCCAGACACCTCAGCACTTTGTCCCTGTAGGTAAAACTGTCCATGAGCATTTTGTGCTCTTTCCTGTCACAGTTATCCATAGTCTGAGCTGCAGTTGGGTCACTGTGGCACAGGGAGCTGCACAGGGTCCTCTCCCCAGAGAGCTTCCTGCAGGAGTGAGCCCTGAGCTGGGATTGTGCCGGGGTGCTTTCATTATTCATTAACCAGCGCTCTCCTGCTCGGGAACACATCACCCAGGCTGAGTTATCCCTGCACAGGAGTCTCTGTGCTTACAGCTCGAGCTGGCAGAAGGATTTAAAACCCATCAGTTAATACTGCTTTAACAGAAGCACAGCTGCAGTCTGTAGGATATAAATGTGGATTTATTTCACTACCTATTACCAATGATTACAAAGATCTCAAAAGAATTACTAATCCGGAGGATTTAAATTGCACCCTGTGAGTGTCAACTGCAGGTTTGCTACTACAGCGCATTTAATTCTCCCAGTAAATGATGTATCAGCTCTAATTGCAGCAGCGGCTCAGGCTTTCTCTGCACAGCACTTCAAAGGCTGGGAACAAGATGTAAGTGGCTCCTGTCACATCTGGGAGTGACACACCTGTCCTGGCTGCCAGGTGGGGAGAGAACTTCAGCTGGGTCTGCTGCTGCTGCTGAGCCAGCGTGCATCCCTGTGCTGGCCATCACAGGGGCTGCTGCTCCTCATGGCTCTCGGGCAAGGCAATGCAAAAATCAGATTTTAAAGACCTCAGTGCTTATTTCCGTGGCAGTTCACACAACGGAACTGAATCACCCCCAGCATTACAGAGCCTCTGAGACTAGATGGACATTTCATTGAGTGTCTCCATTAAGATGTGCAATGTATAGGGAATACACTCAGAATGTGATTTTTATCCTCTCCATTTATTAAGGAAAAAAAATCTAAATAATTTTCCCATCTTAATTTCCTATGGAAATAAGCTTTCCAATGACTGTGCTTGTGGGTGTTTGGGTGGGGCCATCTCTCAGTCTGTACACACTTCTCTGTCTGTAGGTATTGTATTCTGTGTCCTTCTCACACTGGCTGAAGGCAGGGTTAGAGGGATATTAGGATGAAATTCCTCCCTGTGAGAATTGTGCCCAGAGAAGCTGTGGCTGCCCCATTCCTGGAAGTGTCCGAGGTCAGGTTGGAGGGGGCACCCTGGGACAATGGAAGGTGTGGGTGGAACTGGGTGGGCTTTAAGATCTCTTTGAACCCAAACCATTCCATGATTCTCCAATGAACGTTAAGGTAATTGGCTGTAATTACCCAGAGCTGATGTAAAAGTGGAGGTACCACAGGTCACTGAGGGGTGCAGACAGGGAGATGCCTGAATTCAGGAGAGAGCTCTGTGCCCCCACCACAGGCTCCTTCTGCACGTTCAGAGTGTGGACGTGGCAACAGCCCAAACAAACACCTCAGCTCCAGAAATTCACTTAACAGACGAGAAGTCTGCAAGACTGAAACGCTCTCAAAGCCTCTGGTGTTGCAGCACTGATGGACTGATGGAAGGGTTTGGGCTCTGTGAAATGGCTCAACATAATTGAACTGCTGAGTGAAATGGGCCCCTCAGCAGAACTTTGACAAAGGCCATGAAGCCATTCCTTCCACTGCAGGGCTGGAATGCACCAGCAGGACAGCACTGATGAGACCTTCATTTCCTGGCTCTTGTATTTAGAGCTTTTCACATGAAAGAGTACTAGCGAGACTAGCAGAGGTAAAAAACAGAATAACCACCCCTCCAAAAAAACCCCACCAAAAATATGGATGAGTTTGAGAGTTCCTTTTTATTTTCAGTTTTTAGGAATACTGGGATTGGTCATTATTAATTGGTCATTATTTATCTGGGTAAATTATGATAGAAGTAGCAAATGACTGTGAAATTTGTACCCGTGTCAAAGCCTAGGAATCCAAAATATTCTGCCCAGTATTTTTGGTGTAGTTCAGACCAGAGATGTTGGTTCAGGGTCTTCTCTAATGTCTGTGATGTTTGACAGCTATTAACACCAGCAGACTGGATAACTTTTTTCTATAAACTTAACAAGTGCAATGTAATTCAGCAGCACCTTATTAAACTCTCAGTGAGGCTTGAAGTTGCTATCAAGAACTCTGGTGATCTACAGGGTATTGAGGCCTCTTTCAATCCACAAAGCATCTGAAATAAAGGCTTGCTAGGAAAAGTAACAATACCTCTTTTCTTCATAATGATGGACTTTGGAACTCAGATTTGGCAAAAATTAAAACTTGCTGGAGAAGTGGTCAGCTCTAAAAGCACAACAGCAGAGTCTGAGTTGTATTTGTACATGAAAAATAAGAACAAAGCAAAGCTGGAATTTGGTGGAATACCCATGTCCATGCCCTGGCATGTAAAGCAATGCAAAAAGGATAAAAGTGGAATGGCAGAGGTGGCAGAAAAGGAAATGCTTCAATTAAATGCAGTAACGACCACTCTGCAAGCATCTGCACAAGGGCTGAGCTCCTTGAAGTCCTTCTCAAAGGCTTCTCAGCAGCTGCCTTGAAGCAGGTCCACACTCACTGAGGCACACGAAGCCATTTCCCACTCCAGGAGGGGGTGTGGGAGAGAGATTTTCTTCCTTGCTTGAGTTTGGGGATACAGTCCCTTCAATCCTTGGGAGAGGGAGATGGAATATTTAACTCCTACTGCTGTACCCACTAGAGAGAGAGAAATAAACTGCAATCACTGCCTAACAGATACTAAAATATTGAGAAACACTTCTGGATACCTCTTGAGAGTGAGATATAAAATCCCACTGAGATGCTGTAAGTATTACTCCTTTCTTTGAATGATTACTAATACGTTTTTAATGATGCTTTTAGAAATACAAATATTAGAATTCATTTTTTCCCCTCATAATAACAATAACTTTGTTCTAAATTTTGAACCAGGACTTCAGGATCTGCATTAATGATAATGAAGAGGTAAATTTTCTGAAGTGTTGTTGATGGTGTAAGAACAAATTTTTTCCACTTGTTGCAGCATACTTAGCTGGCATTTAGGAACTAAAAAGCATTTCTGACTTGGTTCTACTCTGCGTTCAAGGGCTTCTCTGGCAAGGTTAGTACCTCCCAATCTCACTAAGTGTTGTTCAGACAACTATAATTAGAGTGTGATGTACTCGGATAACGTGATAAGGGAGGCAACTGTAGTGCCTAAGTGGAGATTAAGCTTTGTTTTGGGGTTTGAGATCTCAAAATACGTAGAGGTTTCAACAGCAAATCAAAGTAGTGATCCCAAATTCTGATGACATACTGTCTTCTCCTTGCTCTTTCCTCAAATATTCCTCCAATAATCCTGCCTCTACCACTGCAGATTCTTCTCTGGTTTTTATTTTTTGATGACTGAAAGTGAAGGTTAATGCTTAGGATGCAAATGCTTATTAATTTGGTGGCCATGCATTACATGATCCTGTTATTGTCCATACCATCAGCCATGGCTTTGAGAACAGCAATTTCCCGTGCTTAGTGTTTATCAATGACAACATTCCCTGATGCCCTGGAAGTGTTTGCACAAATCAGCACTAGAAAACAGAGTCCTCAAATGTCTGACAACATTTGTCAATACAAGGCTGTACTTCTGTTTTCTCCCTGCCCTAATCCTGAAAACTCTACACAACAAGATCTTCCCATAGCATTACTGCTCTGTTGTCATTTAAAATCGGTTTCCACCACTCCAGACTGGAGCAGCTCTGCAGCAGAGGGGCCTGGCTGCAGGGGAACGGTGCCAATAGCAATTTTTGTCTCCCTGAGCTGAGCAGGCTCTTAGGGGAGGCGATATCCGATAGCAGTGGGAGACACTCGAGGAGAGAGGGGCCGAGCTGCTCCCTCCTCCTCCATCATTGCTGCAGAGCCACTGCCCCATTAACTCTTTCAGCTGCCAGCCCTCCTTTATGCAGAAATCACTGGGTTTGGGGCCTGCTAGAGAAGCCTTTCTTGTTTTCTCATGGGACAGCAGACATTTGCTGTGTCTTGGATCAAACCCTCCCCTGCCAGAACTCCACATTCCTGCAGCTCTCGAGCAGCTGTGGGAACTTGGGGCACACACATGCACTCTATTAATAGTGTGGAGCAGGGGATTCTCCCAAAGGAGTGGCTCCGGTGGGATGAGGGCTGTGAATGTCAGCTGCAGGGGTGGTCACTTGGCCTCAGCCGTCACCTGCAGGCAGGTAAACACACCCAGAGTCATCCAACCCCAAACCCCACCAAGCAGCTGATTGCTTTCTGGCAAATGTGGGACTTCTGGGTTGGTTTGGAGACATGGAATGAAATTATTTTCAGGATCATTTGACAGCAAGTGCTTGAGGAAACAGGGAATACAAGTTGAAGGAGCTGGCTGTATATTAAAAATAAGGCAATTA